CTGTATCTCCATCAATAACTTTGTTCGTGGAATGTTCAAAGGGGTGGGTGTCTTGACCTCCTCTCGTTTTTGCCTGACTGACCGGTCTTGGACATAACCCTTGCTCGTGCGTTCACTCTTCTGCTTATTTCTATCATTGTGCTTTTGTTCGTCATAGGTTTTTCGCTTATTAGCTTCCGTCTCCCTTCCATCCCTGAGATTTTTAGTTACCTTCTCCACTTCCTCCGCATCGACATACTTGTCTCCCTTCTTTAACAGGTCATGCATCGACTCCGGGGGGTTCTTGGACAGTGACATCTTAAAGGCCCGATTTCGCGTTCCATTCATCAAGGCTATAACCACTGCGGACATTTGCAGGTCTCTAATGCCAAGAGTCGCCCGGCTGAACCTGGCTAAGTATTCCTGCAATGACTCGTCTTTGTCCTGTACGACCTGCATCAACCCAATGGCTGTCTTCCTCTTCCTCTTGCTGCTTAGGAAATAAGCCACAAAGCTCCTGGAGAGCTCATCAAATGACTTGATAGAGCGCGGGGCCAAGGTTGCTACCCAGTCCCTAGCCTCCCTCCTAAGTGTGGGGGGAAAGGATTGGCACATCACTGCGTCCGGGGCGGCATAAAGTCTCATAAGATCCACGAAGGTTCGTAGATGGTCAAGCGGGTCCGTGACTCCATCATAGGCTTCAATCATGGGCTGTTTGAAGCCTTTAGGCAAAGGGACCGCCATGATTTCTGGGGCGAACGGGTCCTCCTCCAAAACCATCTGTCTCCGCCTATCCTTCCTTTTGGACAGCGCATCGTCTATCTTCTGTGACATGATTTCTTCCATCTTTCGTTCCAGGTCCACCATGGTTTGCGGGGGCTGTTGAGCTCCGGTCATTGGGGCTCCCGCGTCTCCCGCTCCCCGCTGAGAGGTGGGTGAGACAACCGCGGGTGGCGCTTGAGGCGGTTGTTGATTCGTCACTTCCGTCGGGCTTAAATGAGGGATGGTGGTTCTCTGCGACTGATCTTGTAAAAGCACCATCATTGCTGCCAATTGGTTTTCCAAAGCGCAATTGACTCTGTGTCACATACTGCGGGGGCGGTGGCGGTTCATGACCCCTCGCAACTGACTCCGACTCCATCTCCGTCGTATTCCCAACCAGGCGAGTATCACTTCTTGTTCGTCTTCTTGTCATGACTTTTTAGTTCAAACGGAAATTCCCACAGACGGCGCCAATGAAAGGTGGTGATTCAACACCTTTCTAGTTACCCGGTAATGTTTGGCGTTTCCACCACTCCGTCAAGTATGCAAGACCTGCAAAATGAAGGCGGGGCTTTCTCCCCCGTTTTACCTCCGGCGTGAGAATTAGTTTTCAGACTTGGAAAGAATATATTTGAAAATCAGATGGCTAAAAACGAGAATGTGAGCTAAAAAATCATCCCTTACCTACGTCTCATCCGGGGGTATTTATAGATATTAGGCACTAGGTAACCGCTGGGCGGTTGTGATGCCACGTGTCCCACGATGATATTCCCACTACACCCACGTTCTGAGTGATGAGCCCTTAACTTCCCGTCTGAAGATTGTACCTGTATCAGCGACCATGTAACCTTGTCGATTCGTTAAAGGTTTTATGGCTAAGTGTTTGGACAAATGATATCATTCCCGTTGAAGATTTCGCTTAGTGGTAGAATGATTTCTTGGGGTAGCGGTAGAGCGCTCCCTAGACGTAGTGGTAGAGCGCTCCCTAAATGTAGTGGTAGAGCGCTCCCTGGGTGTAGTGGTAGAACGCACTATGAGGGTCGATGGCCTTGCATCGGTGTGCTGTGATCTGCCTTGCTCGTCCTCGGGGGTGTCTCCTTCTACCAACCTATATCAACCACATACTTCATTTTCATAACTATCAATTGAAAATAAAAAATGAAAAAAGAAATTTCTAAATACATGGAGAAAAATTCAAAAACATCAATGTATGCAGAATCACAAGCTTATGAGAAGCTTATTATACCTTCGAAATCCGATAATAGATTTTCTATATTTACTTTGAGAATAATCCAATCACTCTACAAACGATCTTCAACTCTCCATAACAATGAATATCAGACTAGTGACTAGGGGATTGTGACTCCATTAATTGATTTTGGCTTGAAAATGAGTTTTAATGGTGAAATTGTAATGATTTTCAAGAGTTGTTCCACGGTATGACTTCTACATAGAGAAACAACTTTGATTTCGAGAGTAGAGAGAGAGAAATCTTTTAAATATGGTAGATAACTGATTTGTTATATTTAATACAATTTAGTGTATATTATTATTATTATTATTATTATTATTATTATTATTATATATTTAATAATTTGATTTACTACCTGATTTATGAAGGGAGTGTATCTAATTGAGACTTTTGAAAATTTTGATGGATTTTTTTTAAGTGACGACTTTTTTGGATTTCGTGAATCATTTGAAGATTTGTATGGAATTAGTGGCAATTTTTCATAGATTTCTATGGATTTTAATTTTAAAATTTTTATAGACTTTTGTGGAATTCAAAAGACTTTTGAAGACTTTCATTTGAAATAGAATTCTCATGAATTTGGTGTGAAATTCTCACATACGAGGTGTTAGTTCTCATAATTCCCATTTTTCTCCCCCTTCTTCTTCCCATAAAATAAAAAAAATTGAAAAAATAAAAATTTAAGACCTTAATGAAATAACTAGTAAATAAAATTATATATATATATATATATATATATATATATATATACAGCACCCAAACTCGACCTAAGCTCATGCTGGACGACAACGATACATGCAACTAGTAATAAAAATTATATATATATATATATATATATATATATATGATTCAATATTATTAGTATATTATACTTTTAAAAATAAATAAAAATCAATATATTTAAATTTAATTATAAAATTTTTATAATTTAATAAAAAATAGATATTTTTCACAAAGAAAGAATGAAAAAAGAGAAAAAAGCTATAAGAATCTAATTTAATTTTTTCATTAAAAAAAAGAGATAAATAATAAGAGAGACAAAGAAAAATAAATGGAATATAATAAATAAAAAATAAATTTTAATTACCATAGAAGGTTAAAGGAAAGAAAATTGAAAAACAAAAAGGTTTTTTTGTGAAAGTCTTCCAAAATCTCGTTATTAATAAGACAAATTTTAATATATTATATGAGTACTTTCTGCTTAAAAGTTAGTACTTCAAAAACTTTTATAGAAGTCATTAAAATTTGAATATCCCAAAACTTATAGAGACTTCTAAAAATTTTTAATTAAATATATCGTAACTTTTAGAGACCTTTTAAAAATTATATAAAAGTTTTAATTGAATACACTATGACTTTTAGAGAGTCTCAAAAAGTCTCAATTGAATACTCCTCAACTTTTTAAATTTCAAAAAGTTATTAAAAGTCTCAATCGAATACACTCCTCGAAATTAGCTAGGGAGTTTGTTAGTTGTGAAAATCGGTCCTTATAGTGTAGTAGTTACGTAATGTTCCCATGAGTTTTGCTTGTGTAAAAAAATTTATAAGGAATTTACTTTAATTTTTTAATTCGTAACTAATATCTAAAAGATTTGTCTATTTCAAAAGTGTTTTTAGATGGAGCCTTACTAAGCCAAGTTCCTTTAGGGCCTGCTTGGGAGTTTTTTTGTGTTTTTTTTTCCTTGCCAGTTTTGACTGATTTTGAGTGGCACCGTTTATGAAAAGTTAGAAAAATCGGTGCTTACTAGCTTTTTTAGGCACGATTTCGGATGGTATAAAAACCACCCAAAATAAGTGTAGCATAAATTTGATCAATTCTCTCAACCCACCACATCAGTAGCTTTTGATTGTTTCTTATATTCTTTTCTAATTGTACTGTTTATAAAATAATTATTTTCAATCAACATATTTTCTTCAAAACTAACATGTAAATAAAAATATATTAACAAAATAATTATGTTTAAAGGAAAAATAAATTATAATTAAAAAATGCTTATAAGTAAAATATTACTTATAAGATAAGAAAAATTACTTTATAGTTAAAAATTACTTATAAGTAAAAAAATCACTTCTATATAAAAAATAATCCGTTTATAAACTAAAATTACTGCTAATAAAATAAAAATTCACTAATAAATTATAAAAAAAGTTACTTATAAGTAAAAAAATTATTTAAACGTATAAAATTAACTCATAATTGTAAAACTTATAAGTAAAAAATACTAACTTGAAGTTTTAGATAAATATTTAACTTAAATTATTTTTTTAGGTTAAATATTAACTTATATGTAAAAAGAATTATCTGTAAGTATAATATTATTTACGAGTAAAAAAATTTCATATTAGAAACAATAAATTGAAAACTTTATTAGGACATGTAATTCTATTCTTTTAAAAAACTTTTAGAATTAGAGGATAATAAATTCTCAAACATAGGTTGGACGGTTTTTAAACTCTCTACTAAAATCTCTTACACTAATGCTGGCTGTACAGGCCAGGCCAGCATTAATGGAGAGCTGGGTGCGTGAGTGGGGGGTAAGTGGTTTTTTTTTTTTAAAAAAAATTCACCCACCCCTGTTTGTGTGTGCCTTGTACAGTCAGCACAACTCAATCTCTTAAAATTGATTCGTTTATAAACGCTCAAAATCGGTACCTTAAAAAATGCTTATAATCGATGCAGCAAAATTCCCAAATAGGCCCTTAAAAACCTTTATGACTTAAAGAAGTATTTTTGTTAATTTAGTCCTCGTTTGAGCCACATTATTTCTAATTACATTAAATTAAAATTTTCTCTCTCCTACTTTTAACCACACAATTTTTAATAAAATAATATTACATGTAAATCAAAAACTTTTCAACCACTCATTTTTCAAAAAAATATTATTCATCTCATTATAATTTACAAATAATGGGGCTCAAAAGGAGGTTTAATTAAACAAGTTCAAAAGTAATTTTTAACCTCAAAAATTTCTTTTAATTTCTCAAAAGTCACGCTCAAAAGCCCTTACACGTCAAACGTAAGAAGAGTTGCCAATTATTTGCCCTATAAGATTAGTATATCACGGGCCATTCACGTGCGAGCCGTCGAAACAGAACAGAAGGAAACCCTCGATTGACTCTCAACCTTTCCAATTTGCTCGACTCTCGATTTTGTTCAGCGCATAAATTGATTGAAGAAAATGGCTATGAACAATGGATTGAAATCCTGTGCTTGCAAACTTCTGAGATCCACTGAATCATTTCTTCCCAGATCAGGTTTCCTATTGCTATCTCTAATCTTTCTAGATCCTCGTTTTTTGTCGTTTTTTTTGCAATTTTTAATTCAGATCTGTGTAATGAGCTTTCATCTTTTTCTTTATTAAATTATTTTTGTATAGCTTTTTTTTCTTTCTTTCCTTTTTTTTTTGTATCATGATATTTTTATGTGTGGTAAGAATTTTAATTGATAAAAAAATGGGAGATTTGTGGCGGAGTAATGGATTTTTGATGTAATCAGGACCTTATAGTTAATGGGTTTTTAATGACCGCATAATCAGTGAGTTTTTTTTGTTTGTCTTCCTCTTACATGCGTATATGAATACACCCTGTATTTGTGTATATATAATTGAATTTGGACCTAATGTTTAGTGGGTACTGTCGCTCACTCCGTGGTATTTATATCATTAGAGGATGTATTTGTATAGAGAACACAGGAAGTGTATATTATATGTGTACACACACACAAAAATGCGTACATATAGGTTTTTGTTTTTATTTTTAATATTGATTATGTATGATTCAGCAATTGGATTAATGTGGCAACATGAAATTGGAGCCTTGTATTTGGAATTTTGGAAAAAAACCAATCTAGAAATGTAGTGAACTTTTTCTTTATCCATTTTCATTACTCCAATTTCATTTCCAGAGCGATAATGCCTGCCATACTCATTCTTCAGATGAATTGAAGCAGTGAACTGGGTACTTGTGTTTGAAATGTATTTGCCCATGTGGAGTTACTTTTCTTGTAATTGCAAATGGCAATGTCAACCTAAAGCTAGAAAATGTGGGTGTAGATTTCATGTTCATAATTGAGTTTCTTAATTAAATGATAACGTGAAAAAGATATTTAATCCATGTCTAAAATATATAAACACTAAAAGCTACTGGTTTGAGATAAGTTGACGTGTAAGCTCATCTCTGTGTCTTGTGATTTGATTGAACTATGTATTTATTTTAAGTGTTCATAAGATGGCATGGACAAAGCATAGTTAGAGTTTGCTTTACAATATAGAGCCTTGATGATGACTTTTCTTGAAATTTGTTTGAGTGCCTCTTTCCGAGGTATCATGTCCAAAAGCTATATGGCAAATTATGGGACTTGTGTTCAATTAAATTTGTTTCATCATATATCTCAATCTAAATGATAGGGATGTCAAAATACCTCTCCCCAACCCATCCTGTGGTTCTCCGCCCCAATGAGTTGGGGAAGTGGGTTGGGCCGGGCAAAATCCTTGATCAGGTGGTGCATGGGAAACATGACTCTGTTCTTAACCGTTACAATTCTTATTAGTAAAGATCATGTTATCAAAACCTACTCAGCCCCATCGGTTCAATTGGTAAAATCGGAACCGGGCCTAAAATCGGGCCAATAATGCCCGGTTAATCGCTTATGACTAAACTGCTTAAAAACCCATCGAACCGGCCGGTTTAACTGTAAATCGGTGAATCGGTCGCGATTTTGTGATTTTTCCAATTTTTTTTTAGTTTAAAAAAGTCAACTTCAAGAATGAGCCTCATAAACAACAATTCAAAGGCCTATAGAGAAATATTGGATGACTTGCTCTTTTTATAGATGCACCTCTCAAATGGTTCATAAACTTCCAATGTGGGATAATGCATTTTATAGAAGTACTTCTCTTCGATGGTTTCATAAACTTCCAATTTGGGATAGTGGAATAACAAAAATGTTAACAAATTATAGAATAATGAATCTAATTAACAAATTATTAATATGAAAATTTTAAGAAAAAATTATTGTTTTCATAGTATTTTATTATTTTTACATGTATTTATTGCATTCGGTTTGATCAAGTTCGACCCCAGTTGAGCCTTTTGACCATTAACCTTTCACCATTTCTGGGTCGATGATTCGGCCAATTTTCAAAACATTGGTATCGATAAATTTTTATATAATATTTAAAATTATATAAATAAAGAAAAATGTCGTATTTATCAGTGTATTTTTATTAAATTTAAAAATGTAGTTATAATACTATGGGCTATTACAAGATAAGACCACTTCAAGGTCCATTCAATGTTAATTCCATTATTTATAGACCACTTCCTTAAAGAATCCGACGTGTGATCCCTTCTTCATGCATTTATTGTTTAATTGCTAGTGATGTGGACTTTGTTAATGGATTTAGTCCTACATCTCAAGACCAAGGATGGCCAAAAACCCAATTGTCTCGATCTTGGCAGGGACCTACCCCATTTGGACCGGAGCCAAGGCCAGGGAAGGGTAACATTGTTACTGCTCCGGTAGGTATTTCTTTAATTTAATTAATTTTTTATAATATAATATAACTATAAAAATAAAAAAAAAATAAAAAAATAACAATGGGCTAAAATATGGATTTATGGCCCATTCTAATGTAAAGCATATTACTTATTTAATCATAAGTTCATCCACCACTTCCTTTTATAGACTACTCTAATATATTCGCTTAAAGAATCCGATGTGGGGCCATTTCTTTAAGTATTGGGGCTTTACTAAGGGATTTTATTTTATTCCACATTGAAAATTAAATTGTTTAATATGAATTGTACTCTTTCTATATGGGATAAAATGAAGTCCCCATTTGGCCCTCATTATTTCAAATTTTAAAGGGTGGAATAGTATTTTTTTTGGAGAATGTGTGGTTGAAAAAGAAGGAAAAGTTTTCGATTTATGTGTAATATTATATTATGAAAAATTGTGTGGTTGAAATGAGGAGAGAGAAAAATAAAATTTAATTTAATGGTAACCAAATGGGGGCTAAATTATTTTACAAAGCCTCTATTCTTAAATAATAAATGGTTTGAGCACTTCCATGATGGGTAGAGCCAAGGTTCTTCCTCTTCCAACACTTAACAACTTTGGCTTTTTTATTTATTCATTTATTTTTTTTATTTTAGAGGGTGTTTGGTGGGGATGAAAATTAGATTTTTTAGTAGATCGTGATTGACGTTTTTGAAATGTGTGGTTGAAAAATTGTGGGACCCATAAAAGATGTGGTTTATATTAATTATTTTACTTTGACTTAGATTAAAATTGATTTTTAATCCAAACCAAACAAGTTGTTACTACTTTTTATCTTTCGAACGAGGTACCCCATCCTTTATTGAATCTTCGCTCAATCCTGTTTGTTTTTGTAATCAAACTTTATTTTAGTTTTCCTTTAGTAATATAGGAGGGAAGTATAATCAAACTTCATTGTAGTTTTCCTTTAGTCATACGGGAGGGAAGTATTGGACTTCTTTCCACAATGTCGTTGTTATGTTCGAAAGTATTCCCATTTCCGCTGGACAGTTATCCCTCGATTCTACCAAGGACTTTCGTCGCTGCCTAGATTCTCTAGAGGGAGACAAATAAGAGGTAAAGTCAGTGTTGCCTTCCTCTGATCCGACTGTTAATGCCGAAGATATGCTGAAGAAGTTATTTATAAAAGGACGTGGTGAACTAACTCATGGTTAATAATGAACTTTGCAATAGATCATGAAGTGGATTTCTGATCTTTTAGCGTTATATCCCACTAGTACATATTCTAATAAAAATCCATTGATACATACACGTTTTTTTTATTTCTTCATAAGTGTTGCCTTCCTCTGATCCGACTGTTAATGCCGAAGATATGCTGAAGAAGTTATTTATAAAAGGACGTGGTGAACTAACTCATGGTTAATAATGAACTTTGCAATAGATCATGAAGTGGATTTCTGATCTTTTAGCGTTATATCCCACTAGTACATATTCTAATAAAAATCCATTGATACATACACGTTTTTTTTATTTCTTCATAATTTATTATTATAAAATTTTTACTATGCAAATGCCAACCATGGCTGGGACCATGTTCCCCATCCAGTTCCGAGGGAATTACAGCCTTATTTCAAGGCAGTGTCGGGAAAAATTGTAACCCCTATTCGTTTTCTATTCATATTAAAAAAGTAAGATCTATAAATGAGCAATGCTTATTGAGCCATCGAGAGTTAGCTCGATGTGGTGCAAAAAACCTCATTTTGTGGTTATTTATTTATTTATATTTTATTTTAAATATTTATAAAAATAAAAACAGAGGAAAACAAGAAATGGGGTGGGGTCCCTCACCAGGCTAAGCGGGGACTGGGATGGGGTATTATAACCCCAGGCGGCGGCAAGGCTGGTGAAATGGAAGGCTGCCCGGCCCTGAATCATTTCCATTCCTACTGAGCTCTCAATAAGAATGATTAATTTGGAGACTATTTTGCCTGGTTTCTAGTTGGTTGTCATTTTCTGGGCATGCACTGTTCCATCTGTAGCTTGAACATTTATGTTTTTCACTTAGCACTTTGATGTGCCACAACTTTGGGAGGGAATTTTCTGGGATAGAAGTAAATGAGTAAAGCCCGTGGTATAGGTTGGGGAAAGATTATGTGAACGAATACGGTATAATAGATCCTATCCTTAACTGCAAAAAGCGAAGCTAAATTGTACTATGGACACGTCCATAAAAGTTGGGTGTACGTAAACTTATTATATTGCTTGGTATAGGTACAAAAATAGATTTGAGGTTTTTTTCAAAATTTTGATGAGTATGAAATTGTGGTCTGCTTTGCTTATATTTTTTTTCTGACAATTATTCTAAATTTCTAATGATTGAATAGTATTTTCTGTATGTTAAGATCTAAAGAATTTTTTTAGTGAATGTGTTTGTTTCAAGTGATGCTGCTTTCAGATCTCACTGGACAAATGCTTTAAGGATCTGTTTTTATTTGGTTTTACTTGGCTATGCACTGATAACATAAATGCCCTTTATACTGTTTGAATTAAATCACCAACGAAATTATCCAAGTGATTCACGTGCTTCCTTCTATTATATTTGGTAAAATTGTATGGAATCTGTCACGTACCAAAATCGCTCCTTTTTTCATGATTTTCCTTGAGAAATTGTATAGAATATATCATCAGGAAAATTTATATATGCAAATGAATAGTGTCAATTATTGAAGGATATTGGTTTTATTTCTGCTTCATTGTACTCCAGTTATTCATTTATCTTGTTGACCACTTGTTCTTTGAAGCAGTTGCTTCTTTATTATGTTTTTAAGGTTTCTGGTGTATCTCCTGTGATATTAAAGTTTATTCAGGTGAGTTGTCGAATGCAAGAAATGAGCTCAATTTGGAGATTAAAGTGGGTAATGTTAATAATTTTTGCTAAAGAAAGATTTGGTGCTTCAGGAACTGCTCTAATCCCGCATATGGATCTGTTGCCTTTTCTCCTAGACTTGGTTTGAGATCACATAGGAAATGCCTTCTCTTTTCGTGTTTCTAAATTCTATGACCATTTGTTGGATAAGATTTCTACAGTCCTTTATGTAATCTTTGTCAGTTTCCCTCCTGACATTAAAGCGCTCAAAATGATCACTGTATACTTAATTTTGGAAATTGTTTTAAGAATATTATGTTTTCCATAGTTGATCTGCCAGACATACGGTTGGGGAGAGGAGAAGCTGCTTTGAGTCGTGTGTCCTTCTACCTCTTGTTTTGCTGTGATTTTCATTTCACCGAGTCTGCAAATGCAATTGTTATGAGAAGTTTATTGATGATCTGATAAATAGGTGTCATTGTATTTCAATCTTCTGCTACCCCATACATTTTATCTTGTTCTCTATTTGTTTTGTCAGTTCTATTATTCTTTGAAGATATTGATGGAATTAGTCAATACTATCATTTTGTACGTGCTGTAAGACTTTGAAGTTAGCCAATGACATTTTCCAGCACAGTTTATTAATTGAAGAAATCTATGTAACCATGAAAGAGTCTCGTGTCTTGAAAATTCATAGAATGTGTAATGTAATGAATTCCACGGGTGTCTTTTGAGTTTTGATGGCTTCTTTATCTATTATAACATAATAAAAACCGACACTTTCATTGATCAATCTCTTTAATGTCAAATAGGATACGAAGGATCCCAATTCAAGACAAACTTGTAGGAATTCATTTCAGTAGAATTTACAAGTAGATATGGTGGCTCTCATGCAGCACTCCTTTAAATGCTTATGCCACTGAACTTCCAGATATTTTTATGTTTCAAATGCAAGTAGGAAGATAATTTATGAAGCTTTTCAATATCCCACTGCTTTTAGAAAATTCTATATTATGGATAGTCCAATTTGTGCTTTTGTAAAATTACTCGTTAAAAATAGATATAAGATACTATTTTCTATTGCATGCCCTGTTGAAATGGTGAAATTTGTTCTGGTGTTACAGTGAGCAGGGGGTTCCACTCCACAGGCATGAAGAGTATGGGAGGAGGGCATGCCCATGGCCATGATGAGCCTTTCTACCTTCACGCAAAGCACATGTACAACTTGGACAGGATGAAGCATCAACAACTTAAGATGACTCTTGGGGTCTTTACTGCATTCAGCATTGGTGTTGCCGTCCCAGTTTATGCTGTTGTCTTTCAGCAAAAGAAGACTGCTTCAGCGTAATTTTTATCTTGTTAAGTCCCCTTCTATTGCAATAATGGACAAATTTGAAATGCCTTGGGTAGACAAAATCGAGGAATCTATTTTGTCACACGGTTAATCGGTTTTCAGCATTCTGCTTGCTATATGCAATGCTTTTTTCTTTTAAGTGACAATAGTTCTGTTAAATTCTTGCTTCTGATTACGTTGCTGTTTTTTTTTTCTCCCTAATATACGTTGAAATATTTTATCAATTGCATATTTTGCGTTGTGTATGGTTTATATTTACGTGTAATGTCAATAGAGATCTACCCCCACTTTTTTTATTTTTTTTTTTATAAATTCATTTTCAAATACATATTCTCCTTCATAAATTAATTTTTCATGTAAATTCAAAACAGTTTTTTACTTTTGAATTACCCTTTCTTCAGAAAAATCAATATTAGAAAACACATTTTTCCCCCCAAAGAAGGCTCAAACAGAACATAAATGTAACTTGCATTCTCGAGTTCATGGTGGAATGCTGGGAATTTAGGTTTGTTTTGTTATTAGACCAAATGTAGTGTGTGTGTATATGTATATATATATATATATAGGCTTTGTTAGGTTTATTGCTACATGTACGTGACTATAGGTTATGCGGATTCTTCACAACCACTCGGGCGGATAGTTTATTCGTTTGGCCCCATTATCTGAAATTCTAATGTTTGGAATAGTGTTTTTTTGGATAATGAGAGGTTAAAAAAAGGTAAAGTTTTTTATTTATATGTAATAATATTTTATTGAAAAATGTGATTAAAAAGAAGAGAGAAAAATGTACTAAAATTACGATAGGGCTAACAAAGGCTGTGCTTTGTCACCACTATTAACCGCCTTGTGCTGCTTCTCTCTCTCTCTTTCTGTCCGCAATAATAAATCAACATCGCTTTCCAACGAGTAATGCTATTAGTAGTGAAGATCACCAATAGTCATCTTAAGTGGTATATATGTGATGGTTTGAGATTTGATATATGAGTTAATAAAAAATTGTCATATTAATACATCAAATCACTAACTGTCACATGTATATCATGTAAGACGACTCTATATGATTTTCATTTTTTTTCAAACTGCATTTTTCTCTCTTTTTTCAACAACACATTATTCATTGAAATAATATTACACATAAATAAATTTTTTTTCTTAGCAATGAATCGAACTCAAAATCTTATTCTTAATCATTCAGGGTAAATATTATTGGTGATTCTGGTGTATTGAATTTCATAATGTTTAGTAGAAAGAATCCAAAGCAGTGGGATGCTTTACTGAATTAGGCCATGAGAATGACAGACAAAAGAAGCTGGTTTGATTCATCCATTCTTGCTTTCATCATTCAACCATGAGGGCCCAATTATTATAAAATATATAATTTTTTTTTCTATTGAATAATCATTTTATATATTTATTGAACCTACTTCTCTACAAGGGGTGTGTTTGATTGTAAGATTGTAATTTATATCGAAATTTTTAATTAAAAGTATAATTGATTTGATTTTCAATTTAAAAAATATTACAGTTGTCCATATTTTATTGATGGACAAGTGAGAGAGAGAATCATTTGGAAAATAGAAATTTACCACTTCCTAAAAAAAAAAAAGTTTCTTTATTTTTGATAAAAATATGATCACGTGATCAACTTTCAGAAAAAGGACAAAGTGTCGGCACAAATTATCAAATATCAATCAACTCCCACCACCCCCACGCTACATCCTTCTTCCAGAAAATAATAATGAAGAGAAAAGGGGATGCCCCTCCTGCAAACAAAAGGTCAAAACTTTTTCCTAAAATAATTACAATCAACTATGGAAAAGTTCTCAATGTGGAGTACTTAATATTTTCTTTGACTATATATTAAGCCCCGTTTGAAGGGTTTAAAATCCAATTTTAATAAAAAGTTAATTAAATGTGATTAAAAATTATATATTTAATTGATAGTGTAGTTAAAATTAATTGTTGACTTTGACTTTAATTAAAGTTGTGAATTTTAATTTTCAACAGATATGAACTAAATAATTAAGAGCTATTAGAATTCAAATATCGATGGATAATTAGTAACATCATTGTTTACGACTCTAATTAGATGATGTTGAGTAACATTCAATGAAATATACAATTGAAATGAGTTACATAATTCTATATTTAATTAAACATATCACATAATACAACATAAACTAGTGTTGTAGTACTTTACATGCCAATACCTTACTCATGAATAATACGCATATAAACTAAATAGGGACGAAGAGCATTGAGTTCCATATTGAGCTCTGCTAGGCTGATAGGGCTAGGAACAGGGGAAATAAGTAGGGGCCCCTGTTTATTTTTTCTATCAACCCTATCACTTTAGCATTAGTGTTCCATATTTTGGAAGTACATATCTAGAACCATGCTACATCTACAATCGACAATTTTTTGTTAAAAATCATGAGTAGGCAAAGACTACATCGTTCATTTTAAAAACTGTTTTTTAAATCAACCAAACAAATCTTGACAACACACGCATTGTCAACGAAAGTCGTCAATTATCATTGTACAAATAACTTTATTCACTTATCTATATTACTCAATCTGATTTATATTTTCTTCAAAAAACTCTGACCCGGGCAAAAAGTTCCAACTAGATGGAATTTTGTATTTTCACTAACGGTAGTATTGTATCGATCATATTAATCATGTTATCTAAAAATTTAAAGTTGTTCGACAAACTTGACATATATTCATTTATATTAATTTTCTTCAACGCACAGTGCAAAGGCTGAACTCTATTTTTTTATATCTGCTAATACAACCAGACTGGAGCAAAGGTGTTCTGTTTGCCCCTTAATTTATAGAAGCAGTGATTAAAAGATTAGTTTCGACTTCCATTCTTACGCAGAAAAACAAGATCAAAATTGGCATTCACATGGCACCTTTGCTATTTCAAATCTAACAAATTCGCATTGGCTTTCAAAAACCCTAATTGACTACATAAAAAGAAGCAAAGGAACCTTAAAGAAATATATATATGCACACAATCTTTCGAAAAAATTAAATAGGATTCCTTGAAGAGTGTAACATGCAAAGGGGCTAATCAAAATGATGATATCATTGAGAATCTTTTGGATTTTCATCTCCACTTTCACTACCTTGAGGCTGGTTTTGTTGCTCCAAATTCATACCCAAATCAATTCTACTGTTATATGCATTAATGGAGGCCAACGTTCCCATGTTAGTCTCTGATATACGTAGCCCCAGCTGCTGAACCGCCGGCTGCTGCTGTTGCAATACCATTGAACCAAGCTGAACTGGACTGAATCGGCCCCTACCGACGCCGGGGAACTCAAACCCACCAATTCTCTGCATGGATGGTGCATTGTACTGCCGTAATTCATGATGCTCCTGCTGCCCTCCACCCGTGGAGGCCGTGGCGGCACTACCAGTCACTGGAAGCATCCAGAAGGTGTTTCCAACGTTGGTGGCTGCAGGTGCTACTGCCCACATGGCCGGAGCCGGGATGAAGTTTGAAGGCTGAGAAGAACCGGATTTGGGTTCGGAATTGGGTTCTTGATCTTGCAGTTTAGCAGCTGAAGGCGAGGTTGCTTCACCAGTATCTTCTCTGAACCGTTTTTTCATGTAATTTTCATCCGGGTCTTGTCCAAAACCGGTGTTTGATGTTAACTGATGATGAAACCCTAGCATATCGGCACCGACGCCGCCGAGAAAAAGAGGAGAAGAGTTGGACGGCGGAGCTGAAATGGTGGTGCCACTGCTACGTAAAGACACGTTAAGCGTCGAAAAGTTAGCCGGAATTGTACCTGTACCAGTTGCTGCTATAATGGCCTGTTCAGCATGTTGCAAAAGCCATTCTATGGTTTCTCCATCAGATTTGTGGCCTAATTCTCTGGTCAGCTGGAAAACCCTAGCCGCACATAAGGCTGGCATTCGTATACGCCGCCCGCGGCCATCCACCTTCGTGTGGCGGTCCTTAGAGGGCTTTTTAGCAGCTTTGTTTGAATCAGAAGAGTTATTGGTGGTGGTGGAGGAGAAAAGTGAGGATCTTGATTGCATGGAAATGGAACCCAAGAAGGGACCATGGGCTGGGGTCTGACCGGACCCATGGCTGGGTTCAGGTTGACTAATTTGGTGAGGTGAAACCAATTGGAGAGAGGCTGGTTCTTGGTTGTCTGAGCCACTGTCACCACCTTGATTTTTGCGCTGTGACTGCATAAATTCCATCTTTTATGATAAATAATAATCAGGTTCGAAATAAAGATTGCTCTCTACATACATATGCAGTGGTGAAGTCGGAAATTTTGAATCCGGAACTTGTCAAGAAAATTCTCCAAACATACTATCCAATTAATCGATGAAATTAGAAGCTTTGAGAGATCAAGTTGTTAAGCCCACTGAACAAGAGGAAGTGGTGGGGTTCTTTTTCTCTGGTTGACTGCTGTCTTTTGGGAGAAGGTGGGGTTGGGGAATAGGAGATAGCGTAGGTGTGGGTTCTACAACGCAAATGGAGGATCAGTGTTTGGGGTGGGACTAGTGGTGGCAGGTGGGGACCTTCAGAAGCAGAAGCTGAGGCCATTGGTGGGGTCTCTTTGTGAGGTAAGAATGCAGTACACATTAGCTGGCTTCCAGAAATTTTAAGTGATGCTTAGAGATGAATAAAAATATTTGTACAAAATTTTATTGAAAAAATAATTTATCCACTCTCATAAAATTAGCGAATCCCACGTGAATTTAAAAAAATCAGTTTGTGATTCCTACCCCCATTGTGAGTAGAGAGTAAGGGAGTTTGTTAAAAAAATTTGTACATATAACATGATTTAAAGATCAAATCTTGAAGTCGACTTGTACAGAAGGAAGGGTTTGGTCACAGAACCCTCCAAATAAGACACAAAGGGTGTTTTTATTTTTATTTTTTTTGCATTATTTTATTCTCATCGGCGGCGCCTGTGTGAGATTTCTGTATTATTTCTGTAAAATTCATTTATGTACAAATGAATTCTCTCTCAAATCTTAATGTTTGTTCGAAAGAGTGACATTGAACTAGTATTAAAATGATTAAATAAATTAATACAATATAAATATTTGAGCACAAATCAATTCGATTTTGAGTTGAACAAGTCGGTCTTGAGGTGCTTTCTGTTTGTCCAAATATTTGATTTTTAGTATTAAGTGGGATGGATTTCAAATTGATTCCAAGTCTTTAAGTCAAACTAGTCAATTCCATGCACATAGGCCCACACTATTTCTATTTGTGTAATTCTCACTTCCATCCTTCACATTTGTTACTTGACACTTTCATCCCTCTATTATCAGTTAAGATAATTGAGTTTCTCGCTTGTCTTATGAGTAGCATTTTTCTTGAGCCTCGAGTTTAGACGTGTCTAGACAAACATTAGAACGCTGATTTAAAGATAGTTCGACGTCAATCACATACTCAATCGTGTTAATTGCCATATTATAGTGAAGTTAAAATTATTATTATTTTTTACTTTTTTTGGTCCTTTGTTTTTTTTCTACTCTCGGTTAGACTAGACATTTATTTTGGTTCGTTATTTCACTATTCTAACCGCGAAAGTTGACTTCTTTTCTCACAAGTGGTCCCGACTTTTCTCCTAATTGTTAAAAAATCAATTCTCAAAATTGCTCTCAAACGGGAGCTAAATATAGTGATGAATTGAACAGAGTCGTAAAAAGAAGTTATTTAGTAAAATAGTAATAAAATAAATTGAGAAGTAAAAATTCGTATAACAGTGATTGGACTTTGGCTCTATGCACATCGCTAACCATATTTTATGATATCAACGATAGCATTATAGGCGTAGTGTACAGGTAGCTCTTATTCCCTAACCTGTTAGGGCACATCCCGCAATTTATCTCCTTCACAAATCTCTAGGGACGAAGCGGTGGGACCCTCAAGATTGGGATTCAACCTTTTTTTTTTTTTTATGATAGCATTATAAGAATTGGACCTAACTAATCAGTACGATAGAAATATCGAAAAATGGGTACAAATCAGGTCATGTTATAGCCAAAAAATTAAATATCTAAGAACCTTCAAGATAAAAAAATGAAGAAATTTATTTATTTATTTATTTAAGTGGAAATTACATTGCAGCGGGTTTTTAAAGATTAGAATTCTAAAATCAGGTTTAAGGTTTAATTATTCATTAATTTAATTATTAATAATAATTTAAAATTAAATTAATGCCCCACCGACTTCCCAATTAGCTCTTAACCCAATTTCATCCCCCAAACATATATTATGAGGGTGTTTGGAAGCCATTTTTATGTAAAAATGCATTTTGAAATAATAAATTGATGAGAAATGTGTGGTTAAAAAATAAGGAAAAGTTTTTTATTTACGTGTAATATTATTTTAATGAAGAATGTGTGGTTGAAAAGAAGAGAGAAAATGCATTTTGAAAAAATGGGTACCAAAAGGAGCCTATCTTTTTTCTCTCTCTACCCACTCAACTCTCCACTCCCTACATTTCGACACCGCTACTCCTGGCGGAGCAAATGTCTTAAAATTGGAAAGTATGCAATAGCAGCGCTTCAACTCTTTCCTCTCTATGAGGCGTTCAATTCACCATTACGCAAGATGTGAAAGTTTTTCACATCTTGCGCACGTCGATGATTTGCACTAGGTATGTCGATTTGAACCGACGACATGAACTGTTGGGGGCGCATAGCTGCTATAGGCTTGCCTTTGACAGTAGGAAGGACCAGGTTGTTTGGGGAAAGTATAACTACTACAGATCCAGAAACTGATGGAGCAACGATTTATAGCAGGAGAGACGCCATTTCTTTCTCGCATTGGCTCAAGAACTTGAAGCTTCCACACAGTGTGGTGGAGTTGGAGGTGATAGTGGTGGTGGTTGTTGTGGTGGTAGTGCTACTGATGGTGGTTATAGGGCTTAGTTTGGGTTAGGTTGAAATTATATAAACACTGTTGTGATTAATAAAAATTAGGTTAATTTGTGACCAATACATAATATGTGACCAATAAAATAGATAATTTGTAATATTGATGCAATGACCTATGATCTATGCACAATGACATGACATGTGAATTGATAACATGTCAGACGTCTTTGTGCACTTGTTACAGGTCATAGATGAAATAGAATTGGTCACAGATCACTGATTTATGTTTATTGGTCACCATTCACGTGTCACAAGTCATATTGTACAAGTCACAGGTTATAGTTCAAAAGTCAATATTAATTAATTGCTCACAGGTTATAGTTCACATGTCACAAATATTCACAAGTCAATATCACAGGTTATAGTTCACAGATCATAGATATTCGTAGGTCATAGGTTATTGTTTACAAGTCATAGATCATATTGTGTAGGTCACAAATGTTCATAGGTCAATGTTAATTGGTCACGGGTTATAGTTCATAGGTCACATGTCACCATTCACTGGTCACATGTCATATTGTATAGATTACAGATGTTAAAAGGCAGATGTTATAATTCATATGTCAATATTAATTGGTCATATTTTAATAGTTCATAGGTCTTACGTCACCATTCATAGTTAACGGATTAATGTCTATAGGTCATAGATCTAAGAACATTAGTTACATGCCATTGAAGTAATACCACAAGTAACGGATCAATGTCCACATGTCATAGATCTAAGAGAACTGATAACATGTCATTGGATCAATATCAGAGGTAACAGTTCACAAGTAATTTAAATTGAAATTCGATTAGATAATTCGTCAATTCTCGTCGATGTTTTCGTAAATTGAAAATCCAAACAAGTCGCCACCATTGAGATGTTGTATTCATGGATCTCGAACAGGTGTAAGAGGGGATGGCAACCACCACATTTAGATCTAATTCAAAGCCCTTCGTCAACAATTCAATACAACAACTCTGTAATGTTAGTCACCAACTTAAAATTTTTTTGTTATACTGTGATGATAACTTTCAATTTGTGAGCTCTATTGTCCGACTATTTTCAATCAACCAGATTTCTATATATATTTGAAATTGTAGACATTTCCTCTTAAAATTGATTTGAAGGCTTAACATATGAAATTTTCCCTTTTTATTTAATTTTTAACCTCCAATTGGAGCTCAATTCAACCTTTCATTTTCCGAATCAATATCTAAAATTTAAGACATTGTTCAATGGTATATTTGGAATTTAGGACATTAAAAATTGTAATAAGAGACAACTCATCATGCAGTTGGCATTTGTCACACGAAACCTCCCACTTTGTCTTCTCAGTCCAATATATATGAGACCCCCACCCCACACAGGCAACATGGTACAAGATTCAGAGGAGGGACCAAAAATGAAAATGGTCTAGAGAGGTAAAATAAGAAAGAACCACAGAAAGTGATGTCTTAAGTATTTCTAGTAAGGGTGACTTATAGCCCCCTCATGTGAGGGCCCCCTCAATCCTCATGTGAGGGGACTGTTAGTGCTGTACAAAGAGAATAACCCTTCTAAAAAAAGGAGAGTGGACAAACAGCTAAGCATAAAATATACTTGCTTATGTTAAGTTGTGGACATTAATAATTGTCACTACATGAAAGTGATGTCTTAAGTATTTCTAGTAAGGGTGACTTATAGCCCCCTCATGTGAGGGCCTCCTCAATCCTCATGTGAGGGGACTGTTAGTGCTGTACAAAGAGAATAACCCTTCTAAAAAAAGGAGAGTGGACAGACAGCTAAGCATAAAATATAGTTGCTGATGTTAAGTTGTGGAAATTAATAATTGTCACCACATGAAATCAGTACGCCGATCATTGAGGCCACTGTCGAGGGTTGGAACAGGGGAGAAGAAATCCCCTCTATCCCAGGATAAAAAGTTCATTAAGGGCGGTTAAGAAATTTGTGTCATTGTAAATTTTATTCTAGGAATTTGAGTCCTTCTAAACTTTGACTTTGCCCTAATTTATCTTATAAATAGAGAGCCATTATTAGACTTTTACATTATCATCATAAAAGAAAGAAATAGATTTTATAGAAGATAGACATGTGATTTTCTCTTGTAAACTTCTTTACTACATCATAGCGAATTTATGCATCGGCAATCTTATATTGTGGTCGTTAGGTTTAATTGTGATTGACAATTCTGTGGACAAAAATGGTCAAATTGAAATAATGTTAAAGTCGAGGAGTCGTGTGCAATATTGTAAAAATTGTTTGTAAGTTATGGTTTAATGTCAAAACAAGGAAGAATGGACCGTCGCCTTGTCGCTTGATTCTCGCCAACACATTGCTTGAGCGGCATGTGTAGAAAAGACATCTCTAGCTTCTCATCAAGCCTTCGCTCGAACGAAAGGCCGTCGCTAGCGTTTCGCTGAACTATCACTCAAGCGACAGGTTCTCTCGCAAAACCATAATTTTCGTTTTTCGAGAGTTTTAACAATTCCAAACTACCCAAAACATTCCACATATAAATATCTGTGCCATTTCACAAAAAAGCTTGGATTGTCCATTAGAGAAAACACTTGCATCCTTCAAAAGCATAAAATCCATTCTTCATCAACTTCGGCGAGTGATAAACATCAAACCTGAAACTCAAACACTAAAAACCAAAAACTTCCTATGGAATTGTGCGATATTGAAGATCAAGGAAGGTGATCGGAGTTCTGATCGTTAGAGAACGGAGAGTTCTCGGGGAATCCACAGGAGATAGACGAGACCAAAAGCTAGGAGTTAGTGCAGGAGCACGCAATCCAGGAGGGGCGCAGAAACACGCAATCCAGGAGGGCTTTGGGAATTGCAGTATAGGAGGTCGGAAAGAACGTGTGTAGGTCTAGTCTGGTGGTAGTAACGTGTGTTCATTTATAGTGGATTCATACTGGCTCGTGCCTAGAGTTTTACCCAGTTTGGGTTTTATTCGTCATCAAACTCTCCGTTTTTTTTACTTTTTAGCAATT